AAAAGAGGGACTTTTAGTGCCTTATTTGCTTAAAGTGCTTGCAAACCAAATTTTATTGCACTTTTGTTCATAGCAGTACTTTTAAGTGAAAAAAGTGCGCAATACACTACTTTTGAATTCATTATTGAATTTTGTGCATAACAATGCGATTATTATATAATCGTAAATTAATAGCAAACACTTAGATATGCACTCTCTCTGTCTACATTATGAAAACTGGAAAAAAAAATAATATTTTAACAGTAAAATTCCTAATAATTCCAATAATTCCAAATTGCAATAATGTTTCTCTATTAAAACAACCGTTTTAAGTAAGTGCATTTATTCAGCAACCACAAACGCAAACAATATAGTCGAGATCTCATGACAGAACACAGACTGGCTGAATGACAATTTCATTTAAACTGCACATCTCACATGGAGATCACTAAACTTCAGTTTACTCAATGCCCCTGCATGCCTGGTTTGAACAAGGAGTCTTTCAGACAAAAGAGGGACTTTTAGTGCTGAGGACGTGATGAGATGGTAACGGACAGGTGTGCCTAGTTAGTAATCGGGTGATTGAGTGTGTTGAGGGGTGAAAGAGCCTGGTGTGCCCGTGACATTAATATTGTAAAATATTATTACAATTTTAAAAAATAACTTTTCTATTTTAATTTAATATTTTAAAATGTAATGTATTCCTCTGCGACACAGCTGAATTTGCTTTAACAGTCATTACTCCAGTCTTTATAATAAAAGCATTAATTTATTTTCTTTTCTTTTCTTTCTTTTTTTTTTTTTTTAAATCTTACTTACCCCAAACTTTTGGATGGTAGTGTATTATGGTTTCCACAAAAATATGAAGCAGTGCAACAATTTTCAACATGAATAATAACAAGAAATGTTTCTTGAGCAGCAAATCAGCAAATTAGAATGATTTTTGAAGGATCATGTGACACTGAAGACTGAAGTAATGATGCTGAAAATTCAGCTTTGCATCACAGGTATACATTTTTTTATATTTTCAAGTTGAATAATGTTTAATAAAATTTATCAAAATATTACTGTATTTTACAATATAATAATTTGAATACAATATAGTGATTTGAATTATGTTTCTGTCTGCATTTGACAGCTGTTTGCTTAATGGCTTTGGTTTTGGCTTTAAGTAACCTTAAAGACAAAGGTCTTTTTAGATATAATAGCATATGGTCAAATAAAACACAAGGGAGCAGCTACTTAACAGTCAATGTTGTCCAGGATAATGAGGCTGCGCTCTGTGAGTGTGTGCATGTGAGTGGTCCGTCGACTAATTATCTCTGTGTGCTGGTGGTCAATGAAATTTGACTGCATACGGCATGGATCTTCTCCCTCCTCTGGCCCTCTTAATGGACTCAATAATGGGATGATATTCTTATCATTCTTGTCTCTGCTCATCTGGAACATCAGGTTAATGACTCTGATTGGGTCGTGGCCAAAGAGATTCACCAAATGGCTTCGGCAGCACTCACTCATACTCAGAGATCTGAAGGTTTTAAGGGTTAGGATTTGGATGCAGGATCACCATATTGGCAGCATCTTCAATTGGCTGCCTACTTGTTTGATGAATTTACATTTAGGTAAAATGACAATCACAAATATATACAGAAAGAACAGAAAACAACTAATGAATATATGCTGTACCATGGAAATAATTTAAGGAAAATAATTAGGAAATGAACGCAAGCGATAAATTAAGAACAATTAATTAATTGATTAAAAATGTAAGTCAGCTTGGCAATAGATGCCATGAGTCATTAAGCCTATTAAATTTGTACAGTATGCATTTAAAAGGTACACTCTTAATGAAAATGGTTCTAAACAGTACCAGATTAGGGTTTTTAGGCTTGTAACAATAGCAGAAACTTTTTTTGGTGCTAAATAGAACCATTTTTATAAGGCTCTAAAAAGAACCATGCTTTGAAAGTGCTATATAGAACCTATAAAGAACATTTTTTTTTAAATAAAATTGTACTTTCATTAGTATTATTTTTTTTATATTATTTATTAATATTGTTTTTACCCCTCTATCTGCCTGATTTTATAATATCTTGTAGTCTCTATTAGGGCTTTACAGTTATAAAAATGTCAGCAGGCCGTGCCAACATTTTATTTATTTTTAATTTTTTATTGACATGAGTAATTGTAACAAAAATGACAGTGCTCTAACAAGTTATAAGTTATAACAGTAACATTGTGAAATATTATTACAATTTAAAAATAACTTTTCTATTTTAATATATTTTAGAATGTAATCTATTCCTCTGATGGCACAGCTGAATTTTCATCAGCCATTGCTCCAGTCTTCAATGCCACATGACTCTTCAGAAATCATTCTAATAAAAGCATTATTTTTCTCTTTTAAAAACAAATCTGTCATTTTATTAAGTAGATGCATTAATACATTATCAACGTGAATAAATACATAAAAAAACATTAAAAAAGGATACAGTGAAATATCTTCACAATCATGTGAAGTCTTTATGTCCATCATTGTAATTGAGTCGCAGTTTCTCTCTGCAGATGATGAGGTTGTAGGATGTGACAGCATCTGAGTAGAAATACACTGAGTTTAGAGTTTCAATGTGTCTCTTTCATTTAAACAGCCCGAGGGGGACTGACTTCATACATTCACTACAAATCACCTTGACACCAGTTGCCATTGTAAAATCTCTTAAAAAATCTTACTCTAAGAAAAAGTTCAACATCATTTGTTTGAAGAGTGAGATAAAAAATGATGGCTCAATCCGCAACAGCACTTTTGTGGAAGGTGAAATGTATTTACAGTGCAAACCCTGTTGAAAAAAAAAAACGCATATGCTGGTTAGGTATGTTTTGACGCTGGGATGCTGGTTTAAGCTGGTCCTTTGCTGGTTTATGCTGGGTCTTTTGCTGGTTTATGCTGGTCCTTTGCCAGCACATGACAAGCATAAACCAGCAAAGGACCAGCTTAAACCAGCAAAGGACCAGCTTAAACCAGCAAAGGACCAGCTTAAACCAGCAAAGGACCAGCTTAAACCAGCAAAGGACCAGCTTAAACCAGCAAAGGACCAGCTTAAACCAGCAAAGGACCAGCTTAAACCAGCAAAGGACCAGCTTAAACCAGCAAAGGACCAGCTTAAACCAGCAAAGGACCAGCTTAAACCAGCAAAGGACCAGCTTAAACCAGCAAAGGACCAGCTTAAACCAGCAAAGGACCAGCTTAAACCAGCAAAGGACCAGCTTAAACCAGCAAAGGACCAGCTTAAACCAGCAAAGGACCAGCTTAAACCAGCAAAGGACCAGCTTAAACCAGCAAAGGACCAGCTTAAACCAGCAAAGGACCAGCTTAAACCAGCAAAGGACCAGCTTAAACCAGCAAAGGACCAGCTTAAACCAGCAAAGGACCAGCTTAAACCAGCAAAGGACCAGCTTAAACCAGCAAAGGACCAGCTTAAACCAGCAAAGGACCAGCTTAAACCAGCAAAGGACCAGCTTAAACCAGCAAAGGACCAGCTTAAACCAGCAAAGGACCAGCTTAAACCAGCAAAGGACCAGCTTAAACCAGCAAAGGACCAGCTTAAACCAGCAAAGGACCAGCTTAAACCAGCAAAGGACCAGCTTAAACCAGCAAAGGACCAGCTTAAACCAGCAAAGGACCAGCTTAAACCAGCAAAGGACCAGCTTAAACCAGCAAAGGACCAGCTTAAACCAGCAAAGGACCAGCTTAAACCAGCAAAGGACCAGCTTAAACCAGCAAAGGACCAGCTTAAACCAGCAAAGGACCAGCTTAAACCAGCAAAGGACCAGCTTAAACCAGCAAAGGACCAGCTTAAACCAGCAAAGGACCAGCTTAAACCAGCATCCCAGCGTCAAAACATACCTAACCAGCATATGCTGTTTTTTTTTCAACAGGGAAAACAGACAGTCCAACAGTGAACTATCTACAAGTCCACAACAAAAAGAAAATCTAAAGTAGCCTACCAAAGAAACAACAAACAGGACAAATAAACAGAGAAAAATCCAAAACACGTGATTATTGGAACTTAAGAGTTTGATGTTTTATCCAATGCAATTTGACATTCTCCAAAATGTTTATGTGTGGCTTAAGTGTCCAAATACTTTTCAGAGTACAACATCAATTTATTAGTAAAATAAAGTCAACAAATAGCCTACCACTAGATGTCACCAGAGTACTGATATCTGGTTGAGAGCTCTTTATTTTGTAATGAGGAGCGATTGGGTTTGTTTCTAGTTTCTTGTTCATTAAATAATCGGATATAAATTTAAACCGAGTCAAATTTTCAAAGCTATATTTGCATTTTCTGTTCATTCATGGTGTAGTCGTAGAATGTGAAAAATGATAATACTAAATTGTATAAAATTCAAAAACGTGTTTGCTAATCAGCGTTATAGGCTACGTGCATTAAATAATCTGATATAAGGTTATCCGAAGCCAAATATAGGTAAAGCTATTTGCATATTCCTTCGAAGTCAAGTCATAAACTGTAAAAAATAATACTACTAAATTGTATAAAATCCAAAAATGTGTTTGCTTATGTGATTTTCGTAGCTTATTGTTTGATTTTCCCATGCATAAATAAAAGGAAATTAATGTTCACGTCCTCACAGGAACTCAAAATAACTGCGTGGGATGAAGCGATATACAGAAGTGGCTTTCAATCTCTTCACTCTCATCAATTGCAATTTCGCTGAAACTGTATTGAAACTGTTTGAGTAAAAATGTGGGCGTTCAACTCAAATGACATTCACTTATTTTCATTCACCTACAATCTGACAGAGTGTTCGAATGTAGCAACTCTCCACCATGAAACTGATTTTTCTTATAAGGTGTCTTCAGGCTTTATAAAGGTCAGGGTCCTGTCGGATACTCTACATCTAAGGATGCACTTACTCTTACATTGAGGACGCGAAGAGCAGCGCTCTAGAGATCGGGGGAGGAGTCACAACACGATCACCTAGTAACCAGTAACGTAAACTGACCAGAAGGGTCGTAAATACGAAACCCGATCTGAGAAGTCGGATCTTTTGTGCAGCTGCTTCAACGCTCGCAGACTGAACTTGTCTCGAGATTGAGAAGACAACCCTTGCGAATTTTAAAGGAATAAAGAAAAAGCAATACGCAACATATGGACAACGTGGAAAAGCGTCGATTCGCGCGGCTGGTAGCAAGAGACAGGAGTTCATAAATAGACAACGGAAGCTTCCTCGAGCCACTGGAATAAACCCGCAATTTCACACATTTTTATTTGGTAGGTTTTGGCATTTGCATGTTATCATTTGATATAATAATTTTCATATTTGCAACGTTTTCTACAATGACATTTTAATGAAACGTAAGAACTTATGCATCGCGACGGCGAAAGTAACTAACGTTACTTCTAGTAAAGCGAATGCATCGAGAAAGTTTTCTCCTTTTGACTGGAGATAATGGATCACAAATTGCTCAAGCATGTTTATTATTATTATTATTATTATTACAATGAACATTCAGATATATAGTGTTATTCTTATAGACCACCAGCGGCGAAAAATTATTAGATAAACAACATACTTTTTGTTAACTGGTTTTGTGTTTTTGTACCTTAAAGTACATCACATACACACGTTTGTCGTTAATTTGCGCTGACAAACAAGTCAGAAAAAGTTCCTGAGTGCATTACTTTACTTTGTCTCGTTCCTCTTTTTTTACCTGCGGTTATGCTCTAGTTTGTAAACAATATGTGTCTTCACAGACCTCACGCGATTAAAGCGTGCGCGTCCCTGATTGTGGTCAAGCTGGTCATATTATGTTCTTTTGTATTACGTTCAGACGTCTCAAGTGAGGATCATGGTAATATCTAACGTTACAAAGTTAATAACTGAGCTACACAGCACGAAAATACTCGGGTGGTTGAAGCGGAGCTTTCAAACAAAGCGCAAGTCAAGTTTCTCTGATGAGCTGTTTCGCGTTCTGATAAGTTCTGGAAGCCTGTATAGCTGAGTAAGAAAACATAATTTATTATATTACCAAACAGTCACTACAGAAGTGGATGAAACATCAGATGTGTGGTCCAGGTTTTTCCTGTGTTTTTAGGACAGAGTTTTGTTAAAGAGATAAAAAAAAGCCTGTCTGTCTTTCATCTCTGGTACAAAGAAGGATATGTTTGTCTTTCATAGAGTTATAGTAGGCTAACTAGTATTCCATATGTGTATGGTGACTGCATCTTTTTAATAAATAGCTTAATTTTAGTTTGTCTTAACAAAAATCTACCCTATTCCGTTAGAATACTAGCAATACGGTGCATGATCCGAATGGACAACTTTCATTATGCTTTTACTGTGTTGTGTTGTTTTGTCTTGATAACCCTTGGTGGTTCCTATCCATTTTCATTGCATGGAGGTGAGCAGCAGTGTTGGGGAAAGTTACTTTTAAAAGTAATGCATTACAATATTGCGTTACTCCATAAAAAAGTAACTAATTACGTTACTTAGTTACTTTTTATGGTAAGTAATGCGTTACGTTACTTTTGCGTTACTTTTTAAATCTGGACAGGGCTTGCTTGTTTGTTTTTAAAATAAAAAAAGTTCTATTTTTGGCAAATATAAAAGCCTTTTCACACCAAAAGTGAAATGAATAAGCCTCAGGCTGAAGGGAAAGTAAATTTACGTCCGTACAGTAGAATGCAGAAGAAGACATTTCAACACACTTCAGCAATAAAAAAAGACACACAAATGTTTGTCTAGAGTAATTTTTGCTTATTAGTACGGTTGAACTGGATCATCGAAGGTCAGAAGCAAATACATTGGTTAATAGAATGGGATTAAATACATAAAGGATATTTGTGTTGTTTAATATTTAAATATTGCAGGTTCGCGTCATATTCTGAGTTACATTATTTTTATTCATTTTGAGGAATACTGAATCGGTGTTGTTGTTTTTTTGTGAGTGAGATGAATTAATGCATATTCATATTTATTTTAGAACTACAGTAACATCTTCTGATTTCTCTCAACATGGGGACAGGAGAGCTGTCAATCAATACATTGGGAAAAAAAAAGTAACTTGCGTTACTTATTTGAAAAAGTAACTCAGATATTCTCTTGTAAATTAAAAAGTAATGCGTTACTTTACTAGTTACTTGAAAAAAGTAATCGGATTACGTAACTTGCGTTACTTGTAATGCGTTACCCCCAACACTGGTGAGCAGTATTAATATTTGTCGCAACTTTTGTGTGTTAGACAGAAATTGTATACCTTATGAGTATATGTTTGTCTTTCATAGTTATAGTAGGCTAACTAGTATTCCATATGTGGATGGTGACTGCATCTTTTTAATAAATAACTTAATTTTAGTTTGTCTTTCACAAAACTCTACCCTATTCCTTTAGAATACTAGCAATACGGTGCATGATCCGAATAGACAACTTTCATTATGCTTTTACTGTGTTGTTTTGTCTTTTTGTCTTGATAACCCTTGGTGCTTCCTATCCATTTTCATTGCATGGAGGTGAGCAGTATTAATATTTGTCACAACTTTTGTGTGTTATACAGAGATTCTAAATGTTGACAGAGCTTTATTTTTTTAAATATTTTTTTTGGTGAACTGTCCCTTTAAGTGTGGTTCATGTACGTCATCACCACAATTGCTTTCACACAGTACAGCCATCAGTCATAACAGTGTAAAGTGCAAGCTGACATCTGCCCCCCTCACATTTGCGCTTGGTTCCTGTTCTGTATGGCATCGTACACGCACAGCATGGATAATTTATAGCTCTTTATCTGGTTGGGTTAGTGACTGTTGTACTCACAGCTTAAAGGCACAGCCATGTCGTGTGATCAAACATTATTGAATTGAACAGTCAATAACTGTGACAACTGTGGTTTTTCATTCTCAGTACCACAGAGAAATGCTACTTAAAGCAGCATGCAACACAATGAATGGCCCAGCACACATCGTTTAAGCATTTAAGAGAGCTGCTCTTTTGAGGACATTAACGTTTAATTTACACCTACTTATGTCTTCAGATCGAGGTTATGTTGGACCCTTTTACATTTTGAATTAGTCAGGGTTGACTTATTTTAGTACTGAAGTGAGTGAGATGCTAATGATATACTTTTGACACATTTTAGTAAGTATAAAAAGTGTTGGTTCTTGTGTTTTCTTATGACTTTTTGGAGTCCTGTCGATTGAAATTGACCAATTTGGTGAGAGAGTAGAGAAAAGTTTGCATAGTGTGATGGGGCTCATTGGAATTCTCGAACATCATTGTTTAAATTCATTTGTGAAGGGTAAATGTTGAAAATTTTTAATTAGAAACTGGATTTGTTTCAGTGTTGGAGCCCAGGTTTATTGTGAAGCTTTGAAACTGGTGTTGATGAATCATCTTGAAAGCCGTCACCATCTGCCAGACGTTTTCCAGGTTTGTTTACCCCTCGTTCGTGTGCCTTATCCCTTCAGCAGAAGTTTTGCACTTCATACAAAGGCTTAAAAGTTGTGAGCAGCGAGAGCGTTGTGTCTTTTTCTGTATGCAAAACATGTCTGGCGAGAAGACTGTTTAGTTATCTGAGCTCTCTCTCCATGATGAGGTGTGTTTTTTTGGACCTTTCCCCTGCTCGTAAAGTGCTGAGGGAGATGCAGAAAATCACATCAGCCTCAAAAATTCCCATGAAAAACCATCAGCATACAACGTGACGTTTTCATGCTAATAATTTGGCTGCATAATTGTGGAAGTTTGATTTCCACTACTATTGCTTTTTTATGCCATTTTTTACCATTTCTTTTTCCATTTTGCTGATTGTCTCACTTTTTTTTCTTCTTTTTTTTTGTATATTCATTATTAAAAAGTACAAAAATATAATGTTTTGTAATGTGGCAAGACTTCCTGCAGATTACAGTAATTATGTTAATTATCAAAGCTGCCATAAGCATTGGGATTTTAATACAGCGTGTCCATTTATTTCAAAATAATCAGATAAAATAAAATAATCAGTATTTATTAACCTTTGGGTAAAGGAAAAAAGAAAAGTCTATGTATACTTTGAAGAATGTTGATAACCAAACAGTTGATGGTAGCTACTGACTTCCAAAGTATGAAAAAAAAATACTATAGAAGTCAATGGCTACCATCACTATCCCTTTAAGTCCTTAAAAAGTCTTAAATCAGAGCAGAAAGTTTAAAAGTTTTAAAGTCACGACATTAAGTGTTGCATTCACTGCAAAAAATTATTAATGTCTTTCTTAGTATTTTTGTTTTCCAATACAAATATCTAAATATCCTTACATAAAGACATACATTTACTTGAGTAAACTTGCAAATGTAAAATAATAGTCTCAAAAAAATTGAACAAAATATAGTTTATGCTTAAAACAAGAACATATATGTCAATGGGGTATTAAAACTTGTTTTCCCATTTAATTAAATAGTTTGACAGACATTTGTTACTTCATTTTGATCATTTCCGCAGAAACAAGATGATCTTTTATGTAATTAAATGTTGCTTATCAAGTAAATGTATCTTGGTTTAAGAGTTTTTTTTGTTAGTTTTTTGTGTATGTGAAATTATTTTTAGTAATGTAGATGGCTTGATAATATTGCTAATACAACACACAATCAATTGTTCCCTTCAAATTATTCCTTACATTTTCTTTACTTAGTCTTAAAATGGTCTTAAATTTACCTGCAAACCTGACATTGCTGTGCCACCATTTTAATGAGTTTTTCCCCTACTTAATTTTCCCCAATTATTGTGTTATCAGTCGTTTCAGATAAACCAGACCTAATTGAGACGTAAAAACAAAACAAACTGTGGTTGAGTGCATTAAACGCTGGTCTCTTCCTGTCTAAGTGGGTTCCTCTTTACCGGAATAAGTTGCAAAGTGGACCAGACTACTTAAGACTACCAGTACAATATGCCACACATTGTTTAACATATACAAACACATTTATTAGGTATGAAAGATTTTGTGTACAAAGCATTTTACTATCATTAAAATAGCTTTACCCTTCGCTATCCAGTATTTAGTCAAATACTATATTCAAAGTATGCAGGTAGCCTTGTTTGAAACAGTCTTTTGAGTTCAAGTTACTGATGTAATCACTGAGTCATATCTAGTTTGACTCGGACACATTTGCGTAGCCCGATCATGTCTGGATTATCTGCTGCACCTGCAAATGGACTATTATTCTTCTCATTGTATACCCCCCTATCCCCCCCGCCGCCGCTTGCTCACTCGCTTTTTTTATTTTATTTTATTATTTTTTTTAAAAGAGTATTTTAGTAAATTTCACTGAAGCCACTTATTGTAATATATGCTGTGTGTCGGATTGTTTTATTGAATGCAAAATGATTTTTTTTTTTTTAGGGATGCACCGATACCACTTTTTCCAGTACTCGCCCGATACCGATACTTTTATCCGATACCACTTTTTCCAGTACTCGCCTGATACGATACTTTTATTTTTGGTACTTGCCGATACAGAGTACCGATAACGATATTTTTATTACATTTATACATTTTTTAAATATTGGGTACAGAAACCAAAGGAGTATGTATAATGTTAGTTGGTTAACTTCATTTATCAAATAGATACAGTCAAACCTTTTATTCAGACACCTTCAACATTTCTCACATTATCACAGTTTATTCGCTATAGTTTAAAAATGGTAATAAAATATGACAAGAACTCTGTTAAACTGTGTCAGAACAAATTCGGCTTGATAATGTTAGATAACTTTGATAGAAAGGTATGTAATGGATTACAATCAACCAAAAATTATTCAGACAGTATGACAATATTTACACAACTATCAATACTTAGTCGGGCAACCTTTAGCCTTAATGACAGCCTGTAGTCTACTGGGCGTGCTGTCACCCAGCTTCATGGAAACCTGAACTTCATTTATTTTTCCCAAACTCGGTCTGAATAATTTTTGGTCCCAAATTTGTATCAGTTTTACTGGTTTTTGTTACTTTAACTTTTTTTGCTCTCTGGTAAATCATCTTTAATCTAATAGCATTAGAGCTGCTCCATTGCAGCGGCTTAGTTCTGTAATCACGCGCTTTGCTGACCACGCGCTCAATCCACTCAGCGTGCTTTGCTTATCAGCTCGCGCCCATCAGCTATACAGTCAATACTGAACGTTTAACATTATATTCATTGCATACATATACTTCGTAGACATCCTTAATCTCTTATAACTCCATTCTGCTGTCTGTTGTTCTGTTGTCGGTGTTTCTTTGTCTGAATATGGCACTGATCACATGCTGTGAGGTATCGGCGTTTGGTATCGGGGCATTTTAACGAGTACGAGTACGAGTACAGGA